GGACCTATCCCATTTGAAGCGAGAGACATAACCATTAGACCACGGAATCGCTTATCATGGTATGAAGTATATGCAGAACTGAAGTCACATACATGTATATATTCATGTTTCTCAAAATTTTACACAATCCATGGTGCTTGATTTATTTAGCCTTTATTAAACAGTTCTAATAGATGTAATAAGAACATAAAGTCCGCCGAGAACCTGTTTTATATGCAACAAGCTAACACACACACCGCTTAGGGAAAAAGTTTCTACCCTTGACTGAATTTGTAGAATTATTAAATGTATACATGTATACTGAAGCAAATAAAATACATGTATGTCAATATGCATTAAAGATTTGATTGCTTATTCTTTATTATGTGTATAGAAGATTTTTTTATATGGAATATTTATCACACTGTAATGATGATTTTATAACCTCATAAATTTTTCATTTCACATGCTGAATACTATCAGAGAGAGAAAAAAAAGTATTTATAAAAAAAAAAAAAAAGGAAATAAGGTTCAAGTTCCTGGTATTCTCTCACATTTGAAGCGAGAGACATAACCACTAGAACACGGAATCGCTATACGCGGTGCAAAGTATATGCAGAAGTGAAGTCACATACATGTATATATTCATGTTTTCATGTTCGGTATTCTCAAAATTTTACACAATCCATGGTGTTTGATTTATTTAGCGCCTTTATTAAACAGTTCTAATAGATGTAATAAGAACATAAAGTCCGCCGAGAACCTGTTTTATACGCAATAACTCTCCTCATGCCCCTGCGCTAAAAATAGCGACATGTAATACTATAAATACTAATAAAAAAAACGGGGTTGGGGCACTTTGAGAGGGGCGAGAGACGTCCTAGGGAGTTTGGTATAAAATTACATTGCATCAGCTCAAAATCTTCTTGAAATATCGCCCGGAAATGATAGTGTTACACACAGACAGAATGTATAAATTTACGACCTTGAACTTTGACCTTTTGACCTCAAAATCAATAGGGGTCTTCATTAGGCCACAGGGAGTTGTTTTGTAAAATTTCATTGCAATAGCTCAAATGGTTCTAGAGATATCGTGTGGAAACGAAAGTGTTTTAACAGACAGAATTTGCTTATTTACGACCTTGAACTTTGACCTTTTGACCTCAAAATCAATAGGGGTCTTCATTAGGCCACAGGGAGTTGTTATGTAAAATTTAATTGCAATAGCTCAAATGGTTCTAGAGATATCGTGTGGAAACGAAAGTGTTTTAACAGACAGAATTTGCTTATTTATGACCTTGACCTTTGACCTTTTGACCTCAAAATCAATAGGGGTCTTCTTTAGTCCATAGGGAGTTGCTATGTTAAATTTTATTGCAAAAGCTCAAAGGGTTTTAGATATCGTGTGGAAACGAAAGCGTTACAGACAGACAGAAAGACGGATCACCACGAAATGCAGGTTATGTGACTGACAAATTTATGTGACTTTTTCCAAAAAAATTATGTGGCGCAAAACATGATACATGGGATAAGGGAGGTAAATCTCAAAACCTTTTGACGGACGTCCATATACGGACAATATTGTCCGTATTTTTTTATGTGACACTTCTCTAGAATGATTTTTTAAGTCACATAACACTCATTTCTGCTAAAAAAAATCAAATTTGTATGTGACAGTCACATAAAAACAAAAGAGTCACATAAATCTTAAATAGGCACAAAAACTGTCACTTAACCATTATTTCGTGAGAACGGACGGACGGGCGGACAGACGGACGGACAAACCAAAATCAATATCCCCCACTTTTCAAGCGGGGGACAAAAATAGTCCCACGCGACACTTATAAATCCTAATTAAACCAGAAGTCTCTGTCGAGACTGAAGCTCTACTGGTTTGTACTTATAGCAAAGGAAGAGAAAAGTACTTAAGCGGTTGGAAATTGAAACTTTTCAACAGCAATAAATAGAATAATGATCCTTGATTAAGTCTCTTTATGTTCTTAGTGCAGTCTACTTGCATGCCACATTTATATTATAATCAGACTAAAATTGTATTTGGAGTAGCATTTTGAAAGAATTTCACAGAAATGTAAATTTTTTAGTAACCACGGCAACACCGTTCATCGAAATCAAAAACTGATACACAGAATTATGAATCTTATTGTAGTTTACTTGTGTGCCAAGTTATATTGAAATCAGACTAAAACTGTAGAAGGAGTAGCATTTTGAAAGAATTTCACAGAAATGTCTATTTTTAGTAACCACGGCAACACCGTTCATCGAAATCAAAAACTGATATACAGAATCATGTGTCTCATTGTAGTCTACTTGTGTGCCAAGTTATATAGAAATCAGACTAAAACTGTAGAAGGATTAGCATTTTGAAAGAATTTCACAGAAATTTCTATTTTTAGTAACCACGGCAACACCGTTCCTCGAAATCAAAAACCGATATACAGAATTGTGTATCTTAGTGTAGTCTACTTGTGTGCCAAGTTATATTGAAATCAGACTAAAACTGTAGAAGGAGTAGCATTTTGAAAGAATTTCACAGAAATTTCTATTTTCAGAAACCACGGCAACACCGTTCATCGAAATCAAAAACTGATACACAGCATTATGTATCTTATTGTAGTCTACTTGTGTGCCAAGTTATATTGAAATCAGACTAAAACTGTAGAAGGAGTAGCATTTTGAAAGAATTTCACAGAAATTTCTATTTTTAGTAACCACGGCAACACCGTTCCTCGAAATCAAAAACCGATATACAGAATTGTGTATCTTAGTGTAGTCTACTTGTGTGCCAAGTTATATTGAAATCAGACTAAAACTGTAGGAGGAGTAGCATTTTGAAAGAATTTCACAGAAATGTCTATTTTTAGTAACCAAGGCAACACTGTTCATCAAAATCAAAAACCAGTAAACATAATTTTGTTTCTTAATGTAGGAAGAGTAGCATTTTGAAAAATTGTTTACAGACAGATAGACGGACGGACGACGGACGCATTACTATCGCATAAGCTCTTCTGGTCTCTGACCAGTAGAGCTAAAAAACGGGGCTGGACACTTTCAGTTTGAGAGGGGAGAGACAGGCACTGGGAATTTTTTGTATAAAAATATGCAAAAGCTCGAAATCTTCTTGAAATATCGTCCGAAAACGATAGTGTTACACACAAACAGAATGTATACATTAATGCCCTTGAACTTTGACCTTTTGACCTAAAAATAAATAGGGGTCTTCCTTGGGCCACAGAGAGTTGTTATGTAAAATTTAATTTCGAAAGCTCAACGGATTCTCGAGATATCGCGCGGAAACGAAAGTGTTATAACAGTCAGAATTTGCGAATTTATGACCGTGATCTTTGACCTTTTGACCTCAAAATCTATAGGGGTCTTCTTTAGTCCATAGGGAGTTGCTATGCCAAATTTCATTGCGAAAGCTCAAAGGGTTCTCGAGATATCGTGTGGAAACGAAAGCGTTACAGACAGAAAGACGGACGAACGGACAGACGGACAAACCCAAATTAATATCCCCCACTTTTCAAGCGGAGGACAATAAAATTGTAGATTTAGACTTTAGACTTTTAGATTTTAATCACACGAGGACTTCCATGCCAACTTCTATAGTCCTATAGCCCACTGACGTCAAACACAAATGCAGCCGCATGAGATTTACATGCATAGGCTGGCCTTCTTAGCGTCAGAACCAGAGACAGATGCGCACGAGATTTGCATGCGTATTAGGCCTCCTTAGCTCCTGACCTACCGATCTGCCTAATTTACATTCCAGCAGAATTATCAAGAAATAAACTCCCCTAACTTTCAAAGAGTTATCACAGAGAAAAAAAATTAGAAATGGAAATATTTGCTCATCATAACTATGTACTTTATGTTGTTTATTCAACACCCTGAAGCAGAGAAGATTTTTGAAGAATAAATGCATTTTCACAATATAACCAATAGAGCCCAGCCCTAACACCAGAACCCCTGACCCTGGGGCCGTAAAATTCACAATTTTGAAAGAAGCACTCTTGCTCATCATAACAATTTACTTACTTAGTTTATTTAATACCCAGAAACAGAGAAGAAGATTTTCAAAGAATTAATGCATTTTCAATTTATAATCAATAGAGCCCTGCCCTAACACCAGAACCCCTGACCCTGGGGCCTTAATATTCACAAATTTGAAAGAGACTCTCTTGCTCATCATAACAATGTACTTAGTTAGTTTATTTAATACCCAGGAGCAGAGAAAAATATTTTCAAAGAATTAATGCATTTTCACTATATAATCAATAGAGCCCCGCCCTAGCACCAGAACCACTGACCTTGGGGCCATAAAATTCACAATTTTGGAAGAGGCACTCTTGCTCACCATAACAATGTACTTACTTAGTTTATTCAATACCCAGGAGCAGAGAAGAAGATTTTCAAAGAATTAATGCATTTTCACTATATAATCAATAGAGCCCCGCCCTAACACCAGAGCCCCTGACCCTGGGGCCATAAAATTCACAAATCCGAAAGAGGCACTCTTGCTCATCATAACTATGTACTTAGATTGTTACTTTGATACCCAGGAGCAGAGAAGAAGATTTTCAAAGAATTAATGCATTTTCACTATATAATCAATAGAGTCCCGCCCTAGCACTAGAACCCCTGACCCTGGGGCCATGAATTTCACAATTTTGGTAGAGAACTCAATGCTGATTATAATCATACCAACAGTTTGTCTGCTTGATGTTCAGGAGTAAAGAAGAAGATTTTTAAAGATTGCACTAATTTTAGTGGTTTTGGCCCCACCCCCAAGGCCCCAGGGGGACAGGGACCATGAAATTCAAAATTATTTTTGTTCCCCTTCACCCATAGATGCTGTATGCGAAAATTGGTTGAAATTGGTTTAGTGGTTTCAGAGAAGAAGCTGAAAATGTTCAAATGTTAACACACTACGCACGACGACAGATGAAAACGGATAGCAATAGGTATCTGAGTTTACTCAGGTGACCTAAAAACATCCAACAATGTATAAGATTGTCATTTATTTATAATCAAGACAATTTCTACATCATGTTTAAACAAACAAGCAACTGTATTTTTGTTGTCAAGTTTTTGGACCCAATTGACATTTGTACACGTTACAGGCTGCTTGAGTTAGTGGACAAATTATCAAAGGGTTGGCTACACAGCTCATCATACAGAGTACAGAAAATAGTAAAGATGATGTCATAAAATGAACCACAGTCAATAAATAATCATAACAAACTGCTGCTACATAACAAGCACATTATGTACAAATCACAAGTTAAAAATATAAAACAGGTGCTTGGACCTTATTAGATTTCCACTTTGATATTCTCTGCAGTGTATCATTTTTCTCTCCTCGCAACACACACACAACTTGGTTTCTCCTTGTGGAAAAAATAATTCCGAATGTCACAGATCAGGTTAATGCTCTGGTTTATGGGGATGCACTACATAACTCTAAATTTATAAAAGTTACACAGTCCTCTACTGAAGTTCCAGCTGAATATAAGAGAGAGAATATACACTAATATGACACCAATACATGGAAATAACAAGTTCCTGGTGTTCTTTAGATATGGCAGTGCTGAAATATACAAACACAAGAATTATTAATGTGGATCAGATATAGATAGTTTTCGATAGACCTGAATTTAGCGAAAGTTACCTCCCGTTGGCCGCCATATTGGAGGTCGACTCAGTGATTTTCCCTCTTTGTCTTACCAAGTTTAAGAAAATATAGCAGAAATATTTGGTGGAAAATCTTTATCAAATAATTTTTTTCAAATAAAGGAGGCTTTCAAAAATTTATATACTTCAGAAAAATAATGATTTCTCATTCAAAATAGCAAATATAAAAATTTTAAATTGGTTGAACAATGAAGGAATATGAGCATTTGGACCTCCAGTATGGCGGCCAACGGGAAGTAACTCTTGGTCAATCGAAACTATCTATTTCCTAATAATGTGAAATTTTATAAGGAAGATTTACTGGTTTTTTCTGGATAAAAAAAAAAAAATTTCATGATTTTTAGGATTCAAACATGTTTTTACACATCTCACCGCTGTATCCCAGAAAGGTTATGTAAATGTAATAGGTCAGGGCCACCAGCCACAAAGTGTTCCCAAACAACAACCCAAGATAACTGTCTCCATTAATTACTGAAATAAATTAGAGCAAAATGGAATAAAATGTGTTTCATTTTCTGAAAAATTTTGTACTTAAAATTACAAAAACAACCCCACATTTTTAGGTAAAGAAAAATATAAATGAGATCCTAAATTTAATGAAGAAGCAGAACACAATGTTTATTTAATGTTGTCATACTTACAACCAAGAAAAACCAACTGAAACAAATGTAGAATCATAAGCAAAGGAAAGAAAGCATTGAGGTGAACATCAAAGGCATATCCCCACTCCACGTCCTGTCCTCGCGGAGGAGCCTGTATCATGTACTTATTGGTCAATAACCTGAAATAGCAAAACGGAAAAATTTTAAGATTTAAAACATAACTTAAGAAATAAAAATATCACTTTTAAACATGTATTGGGATATGAGTTTGTGTGTCTCAATACTGAAACAACAGAAATTTATCCACAAAGAAATTAGTTATTGGGTAATATTTTTATAGTTTTTTTTAAAAATTTATAAATACCAGAAAATAGTTGCTATTAGTAACCCAACTCCTATGCAATCCACAAAAACCACCCATAAAATCAGTTTCAGAAATCCAGAGAAATGGATACCAAGTGTGAAAGAAAATCCAATGGATGATACTAGAAAAGAACAAAACACAATCTGGGTCAATAATACAGCTGTATAATTTGTACTTTATAAAATTTTATATTTAAAACAATTCCACTTTATATATAAAATTGCTATCTTGGAAAAAAAAGTGCTATACTTTGATGCACAATACAGTACATGCTAACTTACTGAAACAATCTATTGCAATGGATCAGTTTTTACTGATATAAGATTGCAACTTTACAACTTATTCCTTTAAATATTTGCATAACCAACTATTTTGCAGTAAAATAAACATTTATTGACTTCAATAAAGGAACAATCATCCATGCCTATATAAAAGTAACATACCCACTAGCCAAAAACTAAGTAGAACTAAAAATGCTGGATCATCTCTGGCCCACTGATCTTTTGTATCTATCAAATATTCAAAACACATATAGATTAGACATACTTTAAACAATTCACTATATGGTTTTAATTTGTAATCAAAAATTAATTTCCACCCAGTTCCCCCTTCTTTCAACTCTCATATAAGTATTATATGATCAATGAGAAAAAAAGTCATCTTAATGCGAATACATCCTGTAATTATCATGATTATAGTCATGGCATTTATCCCTGTGTTAACTACAACACTACAACATGTATATTCAAGCTCATTTTTATTTTTTTATATTGTGAAACAATAGATGTCTCATATTTCAAAGTTGAATCCAGTGATATCTATGGGTTAAGAGAATTTTATTTTTAATGTCACAATAATATGATTATTTCCTTTCTACTGAAAACATAACTGACTTACATTTTCTGTACTGGAAATTTCTGTATCTAAAATTCAGAATTTTCATCAACTTTAATATGCAAATATAGAAATGTATTTCCTAGTAATTACTAGCCATAGGAGAACTTAGCTTCATTTGGAAACGAATATGCAAAAAGTAAAATTTAAGTTTATATATTTGTAAATATATCCAAAGTTTATGTGTCACCCCACCCCTTTCTGTTCTGGGAGCCATCAATATACAGTTGAGTTGCCAAATGAGGGAGTCTCCAATTCCAGGTCACTCGTCTGCATTTTACAGGGCTGGGTATTGACAATCATTTCATATTGCAATATTTTAAACTGTATTTTCTTATGATATTAACTTAATTTACGAATTTATGAAATTGGTGACTTCACTGTACATATCATATCGCAATGTACTCTGTCAGCAGAGCTGAATTGTGAATAAATATCATGTCCAATTAAAAACTTTTGAAAAATTTGGACTCATATTGCCTTTAACTTTGGCGCAATTAAAGTCAAATTTCTTACACTTTCTGTGGTGATATGAACAGATAAATCATTTGCCAAACAGCATATTCAAAATCCATCTGTTTAAACTTCAATATTCGTCTGAGATACTTGTGTCGTTTGGCTGTAGCTGTCAGTCTGGCTTCCTGTTTGCTCTGTGCTGGGTCTCCATTTCTAAATGTGGATGATGTTGGGGAGCTTGGAGGAGACATTCTTGTGTAGTTACTCATTTTTGCCTGTTTTGTATAATAATAAAATATACTCGTGTTTTACAACTACAGTGAATGTCAATTAATAACTGCTTTCACCTTTCTTTAAGCATGTTAAGACCATGGCAGTTAAATATCAGTTTGATCTTTGGATGAAAAACTGAACTACATGCAGTTATTCAAATGATGTAATAGTAAAGACTGTAACTTTACATGAGCAGTCTAATGAATAAGCCTTGTATACAGTATCAAGGTACAGATGCTTGAGGAAGAGGTATGATTTTTTAACTATATACGTCGTTTTCAAATGTTATATGAAGACAAACCTGCAAATTTGTTTTCAAATCTTTGTTATACGTAAAATGCCAAAGATTATTCTAGTGTAACTGTGCAAAATTCGTCAGCTTTTCTCATTTTTCTACATTGACTAACTGAGTCGGAAGCGTCAAATTTGCGCATGTGTCAATATGATCTACGTTAATTAAGTGTTTGAATTGTATTTTTTTGAATGAATTTTAATTGTTATTTGGGGGAAATGAAGGACTGTTCATTTAAATTTCTTTCTTTGAATTACATTTATTATATATTTTATCATTTGATAATTACATACACATACAAAATTAACCAATTTTCATTCCGGAATTATAACTTCCACAATATTCGCATGTTGTAATAGTCTGGATTACTTCAGCGTTTACACTATTGCAGAACATCTCTGAAACTTTTACTTTGAGAGACAGGATTTTTGATTTCTTATTGGTAGGAGATTCCCTTGTAAATATACCAGGAAAAATATAGAAAAAACAAAGAGACCAAATTTGGAAGATCTACTCTTATCAGCCGTCAGGTATGTGTTTGTACCATAATGTTATGAAATTTGTAGTATGGAAACCCATTTGTATCAGAAAAATAAATTAAAGTTATATGTCATTTAGAGTTTATATGTCATTTAAAGTTTATTGTGGTGACATTCAAAGTTAATACTTTTAAAACACAATATGATGCTTTGAGATTTTGAGAAGAAAAGATGGTTGGGATTTCAAAATAAGTACAATGTAAATGGCAGAAAAAAATGTAAAATTTGTGTCTGGTCCATGTACATTACTCTGTAAGACTGTTAGAGTGGAAAGTTGAATTTTTACATTACAATCAGTTTTGAGTTTATCTGAGCTGAAAGATCAAGTAAATGTGAAAGCATGATTTTAGCAACTTAGGTGAGCATTGTGACCCCAAAGCCTCTTTTTATGTCATCAGGACAAACATCAAGGGTCAAACTATTCAAAACATAATTATAAGTTATTGTCCACTAAATATCTTCAGATCATTTTACTTGTCTGACGTCAAACTTGGTACACTCACTACACTGCCTGGTGTCCTCATAAGGAATAGACGACCCCAATAGATTTTGAGGTCAAGGTCATGACCCAGACATTTAAATTTTATTGATTATTCAATATCTTGAGGACCCTTTGATTGACAGACAGCAAACTAAGGAATACTATTGTTCAGCCAAAGGAACAAATGGCCTCCTACTTATTTTTAGGTAACAAGGTCAAAAGTCAAGATCAAACTGGACTGAAATAAGAAGATATTATATGTAATCCTGTCATTTATATGTTAATATCTTCAGATCCCTTTTCTTGATTGATATGAAAATTTGGTACATTGATTCCTCTTATAGAGTAGGTGACTCATTGATTTAAATGATTTTGAGTCACTAAGTCAATGTCAAGGGTCAAACTAGACGTAAAACAATACTGACTTCTCAAAATCTTAAGAATCTTTGCTTGACAAATACAGTAAAACACACTTTTTGCAAACACTTATAATGAAATGGTAAATTGACACTTATAATGTCAATGAAATGGTAAATTGACACTTACAGCTGAGTGATTTTCATTCCCATGAAACTTAAAATTTACTAGTATTCTTAAGGATATGATGAATTACAATTATATCGAAGCGGAATTCCATCCTTGGAACTTTGTTATAGGTGTGTTTAACTGTATCAAACTTGGTACAGTGATTTCCCCTTATAAGTAGATTACCTGTATTTGATTTGAAGTTACAAGGTTAAAGTTCAAGCATCAAACTACTAAGGACAAAGGGAGATATTTTCCATTCACTATCTTGATTACCTTTTGATTAATTGGCATCAAACTTAGTACATTCATTCTCTTTAGGGAATAGATAAGCCTGATTGATAATAGGTCATAAGAGCAAAAAATAAGGGTAAAACCAGACATTTAGAAGAAATTGTCTGAACAAAATCTTAAGAAACCTTTGCTAGACAGACGTACATCAAACTTTTTACACTGGTTCAATGTAAGGATTAGATGACCGAATTGATTTTCAGGTCACAAGCATAGTAAAAATCATAGATGATACTGAAATCAAAGAATTTTTAGAACCCTTAATTGTTTGACAAGCATCAAACTTGGTATAGTGATATGTACTCTCTAACAAGTAAATCACTCTTAATAGTATCAAGGTCTGATAAAGATCATGCAGTTCCAAATTATGGTTATACTACTGACTGAGAAGTACCCATTTTATTACTGACATTTTGAATTTAACGATGACCCTTTGCATATATTGCCACATGGGCGTATAATTTTTTTAAACATTTCTTTTTAATCTTATGTATTCTACAATTACTTTCTAGAGTGTTGATGTGTAATGACTGACAATAAAGAACAACAAGAAGATGAACTCCTTGCTCTAACCAGCATATTTGATGAGACTGTAATTTCACTTGTACAAGATGACTCTGAATGTGGGGGCCAGTTTTCTGCAAGTTTACGCCTTCCAGAAAATTTCCAGTTGGCTGTGATTATTGATAAAGCAAATGGTGTGTTTGTTTGGGTACACAATAAAGCCAAGTCTCATGATAGTACCCTATTGTAATCACTTCATCGTAAATAACTTCAAAACTTTAATTTATTTCAGTTTGCAGGCGTTATATTTATTTAATGGGTAGGGGAGGATCATAAGGAAACAGCTTTAGTGTTTCATGTCACTTGGTCCAAAGTCAAGGTGTATTTACTGTGTATGTAACAATATTTTCCCCAAATATTCTCGATCTCATTTCAAAGGTTTCATTTTAAAATTTCAGATGAAATTAAGGATGAGGAATTCCACAGAGTACAGCATCTACCTCCCCTGATATTAGACTTCCAGTTGTCCCCGGACTACCCCAGTGATGGCCCACCTCAGTTCTCCCTCTCCTGCAAGTGGCTCAACAGGAAACAGGTCAGCTTCTAATGTAACTTTCATTACTTCTCTGCAAACTCTTAAGCTATCAAGACATGTTAACTAACTAAAGAATGCCTATTTTGCTTTGTAGTTGTCCTCATTGTGTTCAAAGCTTGATGAGCTATGGCAGGAAAATAAGGGATCAGTTGTCCTGTTCACTTGGACAAGCTTCCTATTAGATGATTCCTTCAGTTTTTTAGGACTAGAAAATCCACTGATTATTTCCAGTGACACGAGTCGAAGAGACTCTCGTTTAGACGCCCGAGCTATTCAGGATATTGCTTCCTACGATCGCCTTCTTCCTGTGATATTGGAATACAATAAACAAGCGTTACAGCTGGAGTTTGATAAATCCTTCTTTTCTTGCCAAGTTTGCTTTGGAGAGAAACTAGGTTCTCAGTGTATAAAATTTATGGACTGTGGGCATGTTTTCTGTAAAACGTGTATGAGGGAGTACTTCACCGTGCAGATCAGTGATGGCAATGTCAAGGGCTTGAATTGTCCATATGACAAATGTGAGTCTCAAGCCCATCCTACTCAGGTAAGGAAAAAATCTGAATCATGGTGATATAAAACTTGAATGGAAAGTGAAAATTCAAATTCTTTCATTACAAATCAAATAAATAATCAAGTTTAACAAAATTTTTATGTATATACAGTGAAAACTGTCTAATCCAATATCTGTGTAATCCATCACACTGTAAATTTCGACGTTAAATTTCATTCCCATTTTACTATTTTCCCTAGCATTGTACAATTTCTAATCCGACACCTTGTCTATTCTGACAAAAAATTCATCTCCGACTCCCAGTGTATGTCGGATTAGACAGGTTTCACTGTTTTCTCATTTGGGTTTTGTAAATCACAGTTTTAACTATGAACAGGTAACCATTGCTGTAGATGTTTATCTTGTTTTTCAGGTACAGGAGCTGGTCAGTAAGCAGGTGTTTGCTAAGTACGACGAGTTACTGCTGATGACCAGCCTGGACCAGATGGTGGATGTGATGTATTGCCCCCGCCCCTCTTGTCAGTACCCGGTATCCGTGGACAAGGAGAGTAACTTTGGGAACTGTCCCTCCTGTGGATATGTCTTCTGTGTCCTCTGTCAGCTGGTTTATCATGGACTGTCTCCCTGTAAAGTCAAATCAGGTATTGATAGAAATATCATTCCCCCATAAAGCTTATACAACATGTACAAAATATGTTGTCAGAGTATGAAATTCGTATATTTTAAAAATTCCATAGAAGTAAGGAATTCTTGCATGATTTCTAAAATCATAATCATATCTACTGACTGTCTAATAAGAGACAATTCTTCAGTTTGAAAGTACTTTTAAAAAAATTAATTTGTTTTGTTTTTACAGATGGATTGCGAAAACTGAGAGATGAGTACACAAATGCTGATGAAGAAACCAAAAAGTTATTGGAGAAGCGATATGGGAAAAAGACGATCGAGGCAGCCATAGCAGAAAGTTTGACAAAGGAATGGTTGGATGAGTTCTCCAAGAATTGTCCAAGCTGCGGAGCAAATATTCAGGTGAGCTCTGGTTTATGGTTTGAGACCTTCGTAAACAGCAGTCAGGTAAACCCTTACTGGACTTAGTAAAGCATATCAGTTTTCTTTTGTCTTGTTTTTAGATTTCTCAACTGTCTTTATGGTTCTCCACAGTTGACAGTGTTCATTTTATGCAAAAAGTAGTCCTCAGTAAACGGGGATCAAAGCTGAAGGGAGAATTTTGGGATACCATGAGCAAGAAATGGGGTCTTTTGCTTTACATAGTAGATAAAAATATCCTTTTAATAAGTCTTTGTCTAAGAATATTTAAGCTATATTCTATCAAATGAAAATTCTTCCGTTATGAGAGCAAATTTTTATTTGAATTAAGCCTCCTCCAAGAGTCCAAAAATTGAAAAAAAACTAAATGTTAGAAAGGATAATATATAAAGAATTTTATCTCAAAAGCTAGAAAAGTAGGTATATCATCAAGTCCTGATTATTAAATTTGGTAGGAAACATTTTAAATAGGTCCACAGTTTGCTACATTCTTTTCTGCATAAGGGACAAGGTACTCAAATTAGTACTTTTTTCCTCATTTTGTGTGGGAAATACTTCTGGTAGGTATCTGTTGATATTACAGGTACCACCATTACACTCTTGTAATATGTACATATATCAAGATCTTGTTTTACAAGTGGCTGGTCAGCAAAAGATTAAATGTTTTTTGTTTTGTAGAAAATTGATGGTTGTAACAAGATGACATGCATGAAGTGCCGAGCCTATTTCTGCTGGTTGTGTGAACAAGCTCTGCCTAAAACCAATCCATACAGACATTACAATACAGCAGATAGCCCTTGTAGAAATAAATTGTTTGAGGGAATGGATGAATTTGGTGAAGATGATGACTTTATGTGGATGTAGTAATAATTGTCAATGTTACAGAACTGTGAGAAAACTAAAGGAATATTAATCAGATTGACAGTATCCATAATTAACAAGAAGTTAGGCTTCCTTAGGTTTTGACATTTGACCATTTTAGCTGCTCTGTCAATGTAAAGCTGAATTTATTTTTTAGTCCTCTTAAAATGCCATCACAGCAGAACAAAGAATAGTTACCCAACTTATGTTGCATTGTCATTTGCTGTAAAACTGTCAGTTTGTACTTGGTACAGAGATTCCACATGGCAAATTGAATGTCAAGATCAAAGGCACAGACAAGTCTTGAACCTGTTTCTAACATTAGATTAATGTTATGTTTAATACTGTAAATCACTTTTTATTCGCGAGAACTTTATTTTCGCGTATTTACATGAGACAGTGTGCTTGCGAAAATTTAATTCTCGCGTATAATAGTATTCATGAAGATTATATAGAGCAACAGCCATAATTCGCGAAAATTTTGTCTCGCTAATCAAGAGTCAATGACTGTCTTGCAAAAATAAGGTGTCGCGAAAATTTAGTGATCTACAGTAGATGGTATTTTTGAATGAGAACCTGTGAGGGAACACTGTGATTTAGGAGAATTTACTTTAAAAAGTTTATGATTCTTTCTCGGGCTGTGCTTTTTTCAGCACAAAATCTGCCTTTCTTTTCTCTTGGTTTTCTGGCCTACCATTGCCCTTATGATGAATTTCTAATTCCGTTCCTGAAAGTGGTTTACTGCCAAATGTCCCTATTCTTGAAAATCCAGAGCAAGTAACGGTACTTGTACTGTATATGTATGCAAGTACACATTATTAGCTCACCTGAGCCGAAGGCTCAAGTGAGCTTTTCTGATCATATTTTGTCCGTCGTCCGTCCAGCTGTCCGTCCGTCTGTCTAGCTGTCTGTCCGTCTGTAAACTTTTCACATTTTCAACTTCTTCTCAAGAACCACTGGGCCAATTTTGACCAAACTTGGTACAAAGCATCCTTGGGTAAAGGGGAGTTTAAATTGTTAAAATGAAGGGCCAAGACCCCTCATAAGGGGAGATAATCAAGGAAAGACAAAAATAGGGTGGGGTCATTAAAAAATCTTCTTCTCAAGAACCACTGGGCCAGTAAAGCTGAAACTTATGTGGAAGCATCCTGGTATAGTGTAGATTCTAAATTGTTCACATCATGACCCCCAGGGGAAGGGCGGGGCCACAATGGGGAATCAAAGTTTTATATAGAAATATATAGGAAAAATCTTTGAAAATCTTCTTCTCAAGAACCGCTGGGCCAGAAAAGCTGAAACTTATGTGGAAGCATCCTGGTATAGTGTAGATTCTAAATTGTTCACATCATGACCCCCGGGGGAAGGGCGGGGCCACAATTGGGTATCAGAGTTTCATATAGAAATATATAGGAAAAATCTTTGAAAATCTTCTCAAGAACCGCTGGGCCAGAAAAGCTGAAACTTATGTGGAAGCATCCTGGTATAATGTAGATTCTAAATTGTTCAAATAATGACCCCCTGGGGAAGGGCAGGGCCACAATGGGGAATCAAAGTTTTATATAGAAATATATAGGAAAAATCTTTGAGAATCTTCTTCTCAAGAACCACTGGGCCAGAAAAAGTGAAGCTTATGTGGAAGCATTCTGGGGTAGTGTAAATTCTAAATTGTAGGAATCATGACCCCCGGGGGAAGGGCGGGGCCACAATGGGGAATCAAAGTTTTACATAGAAATATATAGGAAAAATCTTTGAAAATCTTCTTCTCAGGAACCACTGGGCAAAAAGAGCTGAAACATATGTGCCCATGGAAGGATCATGGGGTAGTATAGATTTCAAAATGTCTAAATTATGATCAGTGGGGTAGGGTGGGGATGCATTATGTATAACAAGGGGGAAATCCGGTAAAGAACAGAATGGTCAAAGCTTCTCAGGTGAGCGATATGGCCCATGGGCCTCTTGTTTTTAGATAGGAAAAAAATTAATTGCAATAATCTATTAGAGATCAACATGTGGCTGTGATTAAAATATTGTATGTTAATATTAATCAAGGAATGAATTTATGTATTTATCACTTTTCAATTTTTTAATTGCAGATTTTTATCATCTGCTCCATGTTTGAAAATACAAAACAGGAATTCTTGTTACCTCGATCTTGTACATGCTTAGTTTTTTGTTAGCTCTACTGGTCAGAGACCAGAAGAGCTTATGCGATAGTAATGCGTCCGGCCGTCTGTCTGTCTGTAAACAATTTTTAGCTCACCTGAGCCGAAGGCTCAAGTGAGCTTTTCTGATCACATTTTGTCCGTCTGTCCGTCTGTCTGTCTGTCCGTAAACTTTTCACATTTTCGACTTCTTCTCAAGAACCGCTGGGCCAATTTCAACCAAACTTGCCACAAAGCATCCTTTGGTAAAGGGGATTCAAGTTTGTTCAAATGAAGGGCCACGCCCTTTTCCAAGGGGAGATAATTATGAATTAGAGAAAAATTAATGGCATTTTTAAAAAATCTTTTTCTCAAGAACCACTGGGCCAGGAAAGATGAAACTCATGTGGAATCATCCTCAGGTAGTGTAGATTCAATTTTGTTCAAATCATGACCCCCGGGGCTAGAGTGGGGCCAAAATGGCCGACCCAAGTTTTACATAGAAATATGTAGGAAAAATCTTTAAAAATCTTCTTCTCAAGAACCACTGGGCCAGGAAAGATGAAACTCATGTGGAATCATCCTCAGGTAGTGTAGATTCAAGATTGTTCAAATCATGACCCCCGGGGCTAGGGTGGGGCCAAAATGGCCGACCCAAGTTTTACATAGAAATAAGTAGGAAAAATCTTTAAAAATCTTCTTCTCAAGAACCACTGGGCCAGGAAAGATGAAACTTATATGGAATCATCCTCAGGTAGTGTAGATTTAAGTTTGTTCAAATCATGACCCCCAGGGGTAGGGCGGGGCCAAAATAGCCGACCCAAGTTTTACATAGAAATATATAGAACAAATCTTTAAAAATCTTCTTCTCAATAACCACTGGGCCAGGAAAGATGAAACTCATCTGGAATCATCCTCAGGTAGTGTAGATTCAAGTTTGTTCAAATCATGACCCCCGGGGCTAGGGTGGGGCCAAAATGGCCAACCCAAGTTTTACATAGGAATATATAGGTAAAATCTTTAAAAATCTTCTCAAGAACCACTGGGCCAGGAAAGATGAAACTCATGTGGAATCATCCTCAGGTAGTGTAGATTCAAATTTGTTCAAATCATGACCCCCGGGGCTAGGGTGGGGCCAAAATGGCCGACCAAAGTTTTACATAGGGATTTATAGGGAAACCTTTTAAAATCATCTTTTCAAGTACTTCAAAGCTATGATTAGTGATATTAATATGGAATCATCTTCAGGTAGTGTAGATTCTAGTTAGTTCAAATCATGAACCCCTGGGGTTACTAAAAATAGCCCCCCCCCCCCCCCCCCCGTAAACTTTCATTTCTGATCTGATATGTGCTTTTTCCAAGCCAATGTGCTCAGGTGAGCGCTGTGGCCCCTGGGCCTCTTGTTTCAAAATGCTACTCCTCCTACAGTTGTGATCCGATTTCAATATAACTTGGCACACAAGTAGACTACACTAAGATACATAATTCTGTGCATCAGTTTTTGATTTCGATGAACGGTGTTGCCATGGTTACTAAAAATAGAAATTTCTGTGAAATTCTTTCAAAATGCTACTCCTCCTACAGTTTTGGTCTGATTTCAATATAACTTGGCACACAAGTAGACTATACTAAGATACATAATCCTGTGCATCAGTTTTTGATTTCGACAAACGATGTTGCTGTGGTTACTCAAAATAGAAATTTCTGTGAAATTGTTTCAAAATGCTACTCCTCCTACAGTTTTCGTCCGATTTCAGTATAACTTGGCACACAAGTAGACTACATTAAGATACATAATTTTGTTTATCGGTTTTTGATTTCGACGAATGGTGTTGCCGTGGTTACTAAAAATAGAAATTTCATGAAATGCTTTTAAAATGCTACTCCTCTTACAGTTTTGGTCCGATTTCAATATAACTTGGCACACAAGTAGACTATACTAAGATACATAATACTGTGCATCGGTTTTTATTTTGATGAGCGGCAAGGATCATTTTTCTTTTTATTGCAGTTTTAAATTTTCAAGTCCCAACTGCTACATTTCTATTCCTTTGTTTTAAGTATAAACCAGTAGAGCTACAGTCTCAACAGAGACTTCTGGTGTGTAATTGTTGTGATTTCTTGCCAATAATTGGCTGAAATACTGCAGTATAGAGCCTTAAATAACTGCTAATCAAGCAATCAATTTTGTGATTTTATGGAAGCCATGACTTATATTGGGTATTTCTACATGTGTTATTTACGCATTTGTTCCAATAAATTCTTATGTGATCAAGAGAAAGTCACTATTTTGTTATTTTTATATCACACTACCTGAGCACTCTAAAAGAGGGTACACTTCCCTAGCTACGGGAGTGTGCTCTTTTTTTTAGAGCGCTCCCTTAGCTTGACATAAACGAGGAATTTCTTGTATATCAGAAAAATTGCTTCTAAAAATGCTACTGAAAATGAGGGTCTTACTCAGACAATAACAATTACTTGCTAAATGCTTACACATGTACTAAACTGCTATGAACAGCTGATGAAGTACATGTAGCTGTGGAAATACTACCCAAACTCCTTGTTTGAAGAAAAGTCAACAAAAGCCTGTGGAGTATAAAAAAATCCAAATCTTATTGCATACTTGTTAGACATTACCCTTGGTTGAATTTACTGCAAAAAGAAAGGGGATGGGTGTGAACCAGACATTCAAACATTCAATGAACATTTTCCATAGTAATAAATTGTGTTAGGAAAAAAATTGCGGCCGTGGGGGGGGGGGGGGGGGCCCGTTACATGTCTGGGGCCCTCTATTTATATGAGTCCTGTCCCATGATCCCTTGCACATCATCCTAATGACGATGGATGATGGGACAAGACGAAAGGAAAATGCACTATAGCAATACTCAAGAAAAGTGGAGCCCCCCCCCCCCCCCGACCTTTAGTCTTGAATCTACGGCTTTATTGCATAACAGATTGTTATATATATTATGTATCAATTCTTCGGCATCAACAACTTTGAGATAAGATCTTTAAACAAGTTTAAAAATCCGAATTTTTCATTAATTTTATGAAGTGAAATATCAATAATTAAAATATTTAATACTTCACGGGCACGTGGTTTCGGGGTAGAGGTTTGAATTTTCCAAAGATAACCTTTAATTTTTGAAAATATTCATCGAAATGCAAATCAATCCTCAACTAGTTCACTTCGTTGTACAAGCACGTATAGGGGGGGGGGGCTGCCTCCAACCTACTTTTCTTTATTTTTAAGGTTTTTTGATGATCCAAATCTATGTTCGTCTTTTATTGATTATCTCCCTTGTAAGAGAGCTTTAATCTTTCCTTTACCCAACTTGGCAAGGATGCTGTATGCCAAGTGTGGTTAAAAATTGGTCAGTGGTTCGTGAAACGGATAGACAGATGGACGACGGACAATGGGTGATCAGAAAAGCTCACTTGAGCTTTCAGCTCAGACAGGCGAGCTAAATTCCATGTTCAATGAAGTAGATTAGTTTTCTATGATTTCCTGTATATAGGCAAAGTTGTTGAAGGAGGGGGGGGGGAGCTCCCCTCCCCCCCCCTGTGTTCCTCCCCCTCCGTTTCAGAGACCATATACTCCAAATTATAAGCACCAGTACTATGTGAAAATATCCTGAGCTCAACTTTTATAAACTTTAGGCGAGAGAAATTATAATTTTCGTTTTACGGATCCGCCGACCCGATTTTTTCCGATTTTTAAAATTATATTTATCAAATAAAATCTTCAAAACGTTTGACAATGGCAGCACTGAATATGTAATTTTAAGCGTCTTACTCACACAGAATATTAACCAACATGGAGACACTAGCCATGCTTGGTTTGTTTATCAGTGTTATTCTGAAGATATTTGTTAATTAAAAGCATCTTCAGCATTCAGAAATGTCCTAATATATATGAGCCCTACACTCTCAATGAGGTTTTTGGCCAGTTGGCATTGCATTTCAACTAGGCCTCATTAAAAGTAAAGAAAGTTTCGTCTATAATGTTATTTTAGAAAGGTATGTAGTAAGGCTTCTTCCATAACGAGTCCCACTTATGCACAGTCTTCAATTAATCTCTGTATTCTTTGGTGGACTTTTGATTTGAAGTCCAGATTATTTAAGTTGTTAGGCTTGTTTACTGCATAAACATTAAATCTAGGACTTGTGAATAATAGTAAGCCTTACTTGATCACCCTGCCGTTTTTACATGTATTTGAAATAAAACATATTGTTAATTTTAGTCCTTAAACATGGATGACATTTTTATTTATCGTTGTATGGTTACTGCTGTTTTAAAAATCATATTCTTTTTTTTTAATGATCCTTTCCGTTTTCAAAAATAGCTAGTTTCTTGCATACACTGGTTCAATTTCTGATTTATTCTGTTCATACCCTAGGGCTTTCAAGGAGATTAGATACAGGCAATACTTTTACTAAAAAATGGAGGTACTTACTGAAAGTGATTCAATCTAAATATTTTATCAAATTTGTCCCCAGCAAATAATTTGGTCGGTACAATTGTTATTTCAGCTTGATAAAAAGTACCAGGTATTTGCGGATTTTGAAAGGCTTAGCTGATATCCTTCATTTTGTGTCTTCAACAGTAATTTCTGTCACCAGCTTGATAGCTAGTTTATTACTCGGATGATAATAAGTATAATGACTTATGATCTTTGAGAAATGTACCTATGCTGTGTTGGAAAATGTTAATAGAGCTCTAAAGTTACATTATATTTTGAGTGTCTGAAAAATTGTAAATTGGCATGTCCAAGAAATTGACACTTGTATGTGATATTTTTATAAGTCAATCTTTAATGCTAATATGATGAGTTCCATGTGTCATCCAGCAACACAAATTTGCAACGAATGGCTAAAGACATAAAGGTTTGATCACATCTTAATTGAATGATAAAAAACTTGCAGTCTCTTTCTCTCTCTCTCTTTTTTTTTTTTTTATTTTTTTCCCTCCTCCTACCCAATTTTTTTGAAAAAAAATCCGTAAAACTAAAAATTAAATTTCTCTCGCCTTACTACATTGTATCAACTAATTAATGCTGAGATTGTGCACAGGATTAATGTTCCACTTCTAATAATACATGGATGATCCGAACACTCTTCAACGAGCATCCTCGATATAAAAAAAAATACATTTTAATTGCTCAATTTTGCTTCATAATTTTTTCTGGCATCACAAAACGAGAGAGACAAACGTAGCAAAACACTTTTAATTAAACTTCCTTTTTTTTCATTTAATACAAAATCTGTTGTATCATAACACAAAATTTTAGCTCTTTAATACTTCATTTGTACATTCTATATATCATACTAAAATTTTATAAGTATTTCAATATCAAATCATTTGCTTTATTGATAAAGTTAAAAAGAACTGCAGTTATATAAAATATAATTTACACACAATCAAGTGTTTTACAGAATTCAATCTTGAAGACTTAATAACATTTGATTCAGTTTAAGTACATGTATATATGATTATTAAAAAGTCAAATTTCAACAACTAAAGAAAAAAATCAACTACATAGCACTAAAAAAATCAACTACTGTAAAAAAATTAACAAAGACCTTGTTTATCGTTTGTCTTCAATGATACAAAACATGTACTATCGACAACGCTTACTGAAATGCATTCACTTTTCTCTTTTCTTATTCCTTTCGTTTAGTGTTTCCGGTTGTAATGATGCTGACAGTTTCTTAAACAACCACAACTTTTCCGTGGAGTACGTGACGTCAGCACGGTGGACCGTCGGTAAGGATTGGAGGGGCAGTAACTCACGGTGTGGGCGTATTCCCCTGTGGCGCCGCACCACGGACACACGTAACGGAATAGTACCGGACATGTCACACGGCCGAACTCATCCCGTAGTTGATGACCATAGTACACTTGGCGAGGTTCTCCGTTCTTCTTACAAAAATTACAGCCTTTGAAATACACACGGGTCTCTCGCAGTCTTGGGAGATAGTTCCAAGTGCTGCTTTCAGCGACTTCCTTGGGTTCAGTCTGCTCTGTTGGCATCCGACGTGTTCCTACACAAAAACTTGAAGCATTCATAAGTTCTATCAAGCGATTGACGTTTTCAGTACTGACTAGATTATCCATGTTGCCATTCGGTTTCGTCTATCTTGTATGTTGAGCTAATCCCCCTTCCACAAACCGATTTCTTCTTTTTCATTCCAGCTTGATCGTGGGAACCAAAACATTGTTCTTTGATGTTAGCTTGCAAGGCCGCTTTGACCTTTTGCCCCTGATTCCATATTTAGATGTTGACTTCAGATGCAGAGCGAATCATTACATAACGGTTCAAGAAGGGGACAAATATGTTTCTGTATTTTAGCTTACCTGAGCCAAAGGCTCAAATGCGCTTTTCTGATCAAAATTGTTCGTTGTCTGTCGTCGTTGTCGTAAACTTTTCACATTTTAATCTTCTTTTCAAGAACCTAGTACGGCCATTTGCATCCAAACTTACCACAAAGTATCCTTGTCTAAAGGGATTAAGTTTGATCACATGAAGGGCCGCTTTCTCTTCTCAGGAACTGCTGGATAAGAAAAGATGATACCGGTATGTGAATGCATCATAACATGATGTATGTAGATTCAAATTTGTTCAGTATTTAAATAATTCAATTAAAAATATAGTAACTCGATTGGGGAATGGAGGAATCCAATGCCACACCTTTATGACCACCGAAGTTAGGGCAAGACCACAATAGGTGATCAAAGTTTTACATAGGAATACCCGGTACATCCTCCTCTCAAGAACATCAAAGATGTCGGTATAAATCTAGTACTTATTTCACGAGATACCAAAGAAACTTACAATAGTTGCACAGTTCAGTGAAGTATACAAACAAACACGAATACACGTAACTGGAATAAAATGTAACCAACGGGAAAGCAAAAGGTAGTGCAAAATAACCAGCACGAACACGCGGGTCGCCATTCCACGCCGATACCGTGAGAATAAAGCAGTCAGATGTAACGAAAGAATGCGAGGAATGTACCCTGGTACTGATATCGTAGAGAGTAATATCGATATGGCGTTTGCCTATTTACAAGTCATGTTCAGCTTTAAAATTCGGATCAGGTGAGCTAACAGTGATGACTCGCTATGACCTATTGTCACCGATTCCAAATTTAGATGTCGACTTCAGCAGCAGTGTGTTGTGGTTCCAAGAAGAGGACAATGCTCACGAGCAGGTGTACATATGTACATGAAGCTATAAACATCTTGGGCTTGTACTTTCGGGAGGCAGGGGGTGGAGCCTGTGCATGGTGTCAAAAAAACCCCATCAAATCATGACTGATAGCTCAGCAAAAATTATAAACAAACTAGCAAAATTTTAACTTGAGATGCAATATTGCTCCCAAAATTTTAATTATCAAGTACACAGGTACTTAGGGTATGGACCCCTCTTTTTCGTCCCCAGTTGAAAGTATGGGATATTAATTTCGGTCTGTCTGTCCGTGCATCCGTCTGTCTATTGTTCTGTCTGTATTACTTTCGTTTCCACGCGATATCTTAAGAATTGAAACATTGCAGTGACATTTTACACAACTCCTATGGCCTATGGAGCGCCCAAATTGATTTTAAGGCCAAAAGGTCAAAGGTCATAAAATTGAAAAAGTTCCGCGCGATATCTCTAGAAGCCTTTGAGGTTTTGCCATGACATTTTAAACCAGAGATCCTTCTGGTGTACGAAAAACCCATATTTATTTTGAGGCCGAAGGTCATGGCTAAGGCCGTAAATTCATACATTCTGGGCATATATGTAACACTTTCATTTCCGGGCGAGATATCTCAGACAAGAAGTTTTTGAGTTTTTGCCACAGGCGCTGTTTCATACAGTGCGCTAGTTTTCTACTATATAATAACTAGTTTTCTACAACAAGTTATATTGTAGAAACTAGAGGTACTGTGAGCAATGAGCCCACTAAAATGATACCCCCCGCCTCCGATCACAGGCACCTGAAGTATTGATAATACCCCCCCCCCCCTTTTTGTTCATGAAAAAAAAATGTAAGAGTGTATAATATCTCAAAAATATAAAATTTCCCCGTCAAACACATCTATATGTCGTTATATGCAAGCAGATTGTACTTTTTCTCACGTTTAAAGAATGACCCTATTCGGTATTACTAGTATGTATCTTTATTACACCGAATAGGGTCATTCTTTAAACGTGAGTAAAAGTACAATCTGCTTGCATATAACGACATATACATGTAGATGTGTTTGACGAAATCATATATTTTTGAGATATTATACACTCTTACATTTTTTTCATTAACAAAAAAAAAGGGGGGGGGGGTATGGTTATAATCCATACTATAGGTGCCTGTGCCTCCCTAACATAATAAAATATTGATTAAATTAAAAAAAAAATATGTGTCGGATCAAAAAGTAAAATAGGAGGTGCACAATGGCAATATGTACTAAAGATTCTGTGAAAGTTTCATTAAATTTCACTTACTGGTATAATAGGAGTTGCGGATAAGAGATGGGTACCCCAAAGCGTAACAGACAGATGGACGGACGGACGGACATACCGATTACAGTATACCCTCCCACTTTTCAAGCGGGGGGTATAAAAAAACTAGTGTACTGTATGGAACAAGCGTTCTGTGGTTTTTGCAATTCAATTTTATACCATAACTCCATATGGCCCCATCGTCCTACTCAGGCACGTTGCAACAGGGGGGGGGGCACTTTTTTTCCCCAACATTACCTTTTTACTATTGTAAATGTTCATTGAAAAGTTGGTTGGCCCCCCACTTCCTACCACAGTAAAGTCATATCGAGGAAAAGTAGTATTGTATGCAAAAAAAAATAGAAGTAAAAAGAAGTTGCCCCCCTTGGTAAAAAGTTGGCCACAATACCCCCCCCCCCCCCGAAATAGGATTTTCGAGCATAGGCAATTTCCTTTTTAGCTCACCTGAGCCGAAGGCTCAAGTGAGCTTTTCTGATGACATGTTGTTCGTTGTCCGTCCGTCCGTCTGTCTGTCTGTCCGTCTGTCTGTAAACTTTTCACATTTTCGACTTCTTCTCAAGAACCACTGAGCCAATTTTGACCAAACTTGGTACAAAGCATCCTTGAGTGAAGGGGAATTTAGATTCTTAAAATGAAGGGCCAAGTCCCCTCACAAGGGGAGATAATCAAGAAAAGACAAAAATAGGGTGGGGTCATTAAAAAATCTTCCTCTCAAGAACAAGTGGGCCAGAAAAGCTGAAACTTATGTGGAAGCATCTTTGGGTAGTGTAGATTCTAAATTGTTAAATTCATGACCCCCGGGGATAGGGCGGGCCACAATGGGGAATCAAAGTTTTACATAGAAATATATAGGAAAAATCTTTTAAAATCTTCTTCTCAAGAACCACTGGTCCAGAAAAGCTGAAACTTATGTGGAAGCACCCTGGGGTAGTGTAGATTCTAAATTGTTAAAACCATGACCCCCGGGGATAGGACGTACGGGGCCACAATGGGGAATCAAAGTTTTACATAGAAATATATGGGAAAAATCTTTAAAAATCTTATACTCAAGAACCACTGAACCAGAAAAGCTGAAACTTAGGTGGAAGCATCTTTGGGTAGTGTAGATTCTAAACTGTTCAAATCATGACCCCCGGGGATAGGGTGGGGCCACAATGGGGAATCAAAGTTTTACATAGAAATATATGGGAAAAATCTTTGAAAATCTTCTACTCAAGAACCAGTGGGCCAGAAAAGCTGAAACTTATGTGGAAGCATCCTGGGGTAGTGTAGATTCTAAATTGTTCAAATCATGACCCCCGGGGATAGGGTGGGGCCATAATGGGGAATCAAAGTTTTATAGAAATATATGGGAAAAATCTTTGAAAATCTTCTACTCAAGAACCAGTGGGCCAGAAAAGCTGAAACTTATGTGGAAGCATCCTGGGGTAGTGTAGATTCTAAATTGTTCAAATCATGACCCCCGTGGGTAGGGCGGGGCCACAATAGGGAATGAAAGTTTTAAAATGTTGAATCAAAGCATCCTATGGTAGTGTAGATTTCAAATTGTTTAAATTATGATCAGTTGGGTAGGGTGGGGTCACAATATGTATTACAAAGGGGGAATCTGTTAAAGAACGGAATGGTCAAAGCTTCTCAGGTAAGAGATGTGACCCATGGGCCTCTTGTTTTTCTTGCTTGTCAACTTTTACAAGTAAGTAAAAAAAATTCTCTGGCTGGCCTTCCCACTTTCAAAAACAATGCTACGTGCCTGCTACTTGAAGCACCCCCCTCGAGTCCCCCTCCTCGATCCTTGCATGCTCTTCTTCAGATGCACTGAAATTTCCACTTTTTTCTCTCCCGTTGAAAGTGAATCTCTGTCCACCCATCTAACTGTCTGTTTGTACACTTTCATTTTCATTTTATATCTCCAGAAGCCTTTTAGCTTTTGCAATTAAATTTTTCTCGACAACTGCCTATGGCTTAAAGAAGACGCCTATCGATTTTGAGGTGAAGGAGGTATATTGTTTTTGTCCAGTCTCTTTGCTTTTCTATCTGTCTTTTGTCAACTTTAACCTAGCCCAAAACTATTGGGTGGATGGGGCTATGGCTTTCATATTTCACAGATGTACTCCATATGACAAGACCTTTCTTTGGGCGCCACCAAATTTGACCTTGATCTTGGAATTTGACTTACTAATACCCCCCCCCCCCCCCCAAAAAAAAACACCAAACTTTAACCTTGGCCATAACTTTTGAACAGTTGAGGCTAGGGCTTTCATACTTTACATATGTATTCATTGTGACCTTGCAGCTGGTATAAATATTCTTGACTTTTTGACCTTGACCTAAGAGTTTGACCCACTTTCTGAAAACTTTAATCTTGGTCCTAACTTTTGAAAAGTTAGAACTAGGGCTTTCATATTTCTGCCTATCCTGTGCTGACATCGATATCGAGTGCAGTGTTTCACAGGTGTATTATTTCTTTGGGTACCAACACTTTCGACCTTGACCTTTGGAGTTTGACATGCATTTTATTCAACCCTTGCCATAAGCTGCCATAAGGGGGGCATTAGTGTTTCACAAACACATCTTGTTTGGTCATATTTTGCTTAAAAAACAACTCTGCAATACTCAAACACTCAAATAATATAAAGCAAATTAAAAAGAAATGTTTATGATGTATTTTTGGCCAAATTGCTTTTTTCATGAAATTTTCTAGGCTATGTTCAAGGGGTCAAATTTCTCTTTGATGGACAAAACATACACTTATCAAGTCTTTAAATTATTCAGAAAAATATAAGCTTTTGAAAAGTTAATGTACTTTTTTTCTGGTCAGAGCAGAATACATCCTTAAACAACTTGGCATATAGACTTATAAAAAATCAATTTTCAAAATCGTACTGCACATTATGCAGTACACAGGGGAATAGGAATAACATGCTATCAGAAAATACAACATATTCCAGTTCTTTTGTAAAGCTATTTATTG